AGAATTGATAATTTCCAACAAATTGAAATATTTTTTGAAAATTTTAAACCGCGTAAGCGCCGCGTTGCAGTTTAACGGATAGACATCAGTACGGAATCCATAGAAAGTTAACCAAAATTTGTACTTACATCGGAATCACCACTCTGGTTAATATAAATTGCTAATTTATGTTATAAATTTTTGACTATTTTTTTGTATGCCGATTATTTTTTATACATAAAACCACACTCATACATTTTTTTTCACGGCTTACTTGCCATTATTTTCCTGTCACCACCTCCTACATTTTTATTAAAATCTCTATAAAATATCTGATAATTTAATGTGCATATGTCTAATGACCATTTCTGTACCTACTTTACCAAAATTTTGAGCAGTTCTTCTTTTTGTTAATACAAATAAATTTTTTGAAACATTCAAATCAAAAAACATTCGATTTGTATTGATAAGGAGACGTGCTGATTAGTTTTTGGCAAAAGCAGGTCTAGCCATTCCAAAGATATGAGGCAAAAAATGCCAAAACGGTATCTCAGTTTTTTAGAGAACGGAGCGTCCGATTTGAATAATTCAAAAAACATTTTACTTGTATTAACAAGATGAAGAACTGATCAAATTTTCATAAAAGCAGGTCTAGCGGTTTCGGAGATCTAGTAAAATAAGTAAAAAAAAAGCCATTTGGCGGTCAAAAATGATCATTAGACATATGCACATCAAATTATCAGATATTTTATAAAGATTTTAACAATAAGTATGAATTTTGTTTACATTCCTATGGGTTCCGTACCAATTTTTATCCGTTTGACAGCGACGCGGCGCTTACGCGCTTCGACATGCCGTTAAAGCAGTATCGTCTCTATGCAGTTAAAGCAGTACGATCGCTTTGAAAAAAAGTTTAGAATTTCCAAAATAATTCAAAATAAATTTTTCTTCAAAAAGTCTTTTTTTTTCAAAAAAAAGTAAATTTTTGTCAAAAATTTATAGTTTCTCAAAAATCTAATTTTTCAGAGTATTTTTTTTTCAAAAATGTTAATTTAAAAAAAAAAAAATAGTAATTTTTGGGACGGGAGGTTCCAGCAATTTGCCATAAGGCACGATGCCATGCGCCCCACTAGTTTTGTTGTAACATAATTGTTTTGGTTTTCATAAAATAATTGCTCAAAATCAAATTGGACCTTAGGCTCCCGTCATACCCTATACCAAATTCGTATTTTTGACATAGTTTTTAATAAAAATATTTGTAAAATAATAGCATATAATTATTCGCAAATGGATATTTCTTCTATTTGATTTCATGCAGGAATGAGTTTTGAACCGGTTGCAAATGCAGAGTCTTCACTGCTACCCCATTATCATTTGCAAATAATTATGTGCTATTATTTCACTCATAAAACCGATATTCTAATAATAACTTTGTGTTCGTACTATTGTATCATTGAGTAGTGTGAACCTGATAGCTGCTTATTTCAATCGATATATTTTCATGGCCGACTGAAATATTTATTAAAAAGAGATTGCTAAGGGACACGACAACAGCAATAATAACAACTTAATATTTTCCTTTAACCTGATAATAAAATCGTTTAATTAGAGATAATCAGCTCTATTAGTATTTTTATACTGCTGCAGTGTTTTAAAATAAACTGAACACTGGTGGTGCATGGCATCGTGCCGGCAAATAGCTGGAACTTTTAGTACCTTGATTTAATTTTTTTTTAAATTTTAATTTCTTCCGATAACTTTGAAAAATGAGAATTTTGAGATTTTTAAATTTTTTGAAAAGATTGGATTTTTTTTTTAAATTTGATTGTTTTTTTAAATATCAAAGCACATGCGGTCTAACAGTTAAACACTATAAATCTTGGTACAGAACCATAGACGTTACACTACATGGACTGCTGGTCGAGCGCAAAATAAATGTATAAAGATAGAAGAAGCCTGTTACGTCACTTGTTGAACGCTGCCGCTTAATCAATCGGGAGTGTTCCACGATCGTCGGCAACGCTTGTTCACTAAGTGACGTCACAGTCCTCTTATATCTTTATACACTTCATAAAATGGAAAACATGAAGACTAGCAGCTTATGTATGTACAGAACCCATAGAAATATAAACAAAATTTGTACTTATCCTTAAAATCTCTATAAAATATCAAATATCAGATAGTTTGATGCTCAATAATTTTTTTGCACCCCTAAATAGCATTTATGTAAACTTTTTTTGTTAGATCTCTGAAAACGCCTTCCCAAAAATTTAATTAATTTTTGAGTCAATCAAGTGAAATGTTTTTTGAAATATTAAAATTGTATGCTCCGTTCTCATAGAAACTGAATTGGCATTTTTGAAATATTTGCCCAGTATCTTCAAAACGCCTTTACCTGCCTTTGCCAAAAACTTTTCAGCCCGTTTCCTTGTCCAAGGAATTAAATCATTCAAATCGGTTGATCCACACACACAGACACACACACACACACACATTACGCTACCGGAAAGGTAACCTTAAGCATTTTAAAACAACTGACGTTTTACACTTACAATAAAATATGCGTGGAGTCAAAATAATGTATTTGTGTTATTTGGAGTTACTTTTTTTTTGCACTTACAATAAAATATGCGTGAAGCCAAAATAATGTTATTCTGTGCTATTTGGAGGTTACTTTACAGCCGTATCAAAAACACCATAGGTGTCGCTTTTTTACAGTTTCAAGACTACCTTCACATCGAGAGTCAACATCAAGAAAACATGTCTTTAACTTACAATAAAATATGCGTGAAGTCAAAATAATGTAATTTATTTGGAGGTTACTTTTCAGCCGTATCAAAAACACCATAGGTGTCGCTTTTTTACAGCTTCAAGACTACCTTGACATCGAGAGTCAACATCAAGAAGAAAAATTGTCCTAATTTGATTTTAATAACAGTGCATTGATTTGAGGATTTATAACATATGTATTCTAGGTATATTACCGGACAATGTTCCGGTAATCCATCCGGTACCGGACATTAGCCAGGTATGCGTTGAAATAAATACATTCTACTATCTTACTATTAGTATTTTACTTTTTTGTAATTCATTTTATGTTTTTCTTCATAATTTCTTTCTGTGATTATTTATTAGAGTTTTGTCAATAACTCTGATTGTTGTACAATATTGATGAATAAAAAAAACATCTTAGTGGATACAATCCTGTGCAAACAATGCTTATCACAAATTTGGTTGTTATTTTCAAAATTAAAATCTCAACATTGAATATTATCTTGATGAATTTTGAGACGTTTATTGGACATTATTAATTAACATATTTGATATTATTAGTTTATTTTATTCAATCATTGTTTAGATTTTAATGTAATTTTTTTCAAATTCGGTTACAGTTGAACTATTGTCAACATCACAGTTAGAATAAAATATTTTGTTTTTTAAAATTGAATTTTAAAAAATGTGATTGCAATTATATGGTAAATAGTAGTAATATTACAAATTATAAATTTAAAGTTTTTTTATACTTTGTTTATAGACAACAATTATGAAAAATGTATTGCAATTGTTTTTTCTGCTGCTTATTAAAAATTTTTAAAATTATTTATTAAATTTTTTTTTAAATTGTATTACGTATAAAAAAGTTAAATCTGTGTATTAGATTTTTTTCTATTCTAATTGTATTACGGATAAATAAGTAAAATTACTTATGATGTTGAATTTACTTTAAAATTAAATTTGCTTAATATTTTTTTTCCAAATTGCATTACGGATAAATAAGTAAAAATTACTTATGATGTTGAATTTACCTCAAAATTAAATTTGCTTATTATATTTATTTCCAAACTGCATTAGGGATAAATAAGTAAAATTATACATGATGTTGAATTTATCTTAAAATTAAATCTGATTATTAATTTTTTTTTCTAAATTATATTACGGATAAATAAATAAAATTATTTATGATGTAGAATTTACTTTAAAATTAAATCTGCTCATTCGATTTTTTTCGAAATTTTATTACGGATAAAAGTGAAATTTCTTATGATGTTGAATTTATCTTAAAATTAAATCTGCTTATTAGATTTTTTTCTAAATTGTATATTACGGATAAATAAATAAAGTTATATATGATGTTGAATTTACCTTAAATTAATTTTGCTTATTAATTTTTTTTACATATTGTATAGGGATAAATGAGTAAAATTACTTATGATGTAGAATTTACATTAAAATTATATTTGTTTATTAGATTTTTTTTTCTATTCTAATTGTATTACGGATAAATGAGTAAAATTACTTATAATGTTGAACTTGCCTGAAAAATAAATTTTCGTATTAAATGTTTTTTCTAAATTATATTATGGATCATCATACTTGATGATGATGTGGAATCTACCTTAAAATTTGATTTAATGTTGAATTTACCTTTATAGGACTTGAACTGAAATCGTTTATTAAAATTAAAATTTCACAGAAGGAAATATTTATAATGAACTTGATAATTATAAAAATTTGATTAAATTAAAAAGCAAACAATATTCCAAAAATCACAGTAAAAACGTTAAACAATGGGCTATATAACAACAAAAATTTTAGTTTTAAATATCTAGAATCTAGAGCTTTATCTTGAATATAAAATGAACATAATTTTGATATTTAATCATTTAAAATATTTTTTTTATATTGGTATACTTTCAATTCATTTTCATTACTTAAATCATAAAATGCACGAAAGTTAATTTACAATTTTAAATTTGCTGATTTAGTCATATTACACAAGTATGGTTTGATATGCAAAATTATTAATTATATTAAATACTGTTGTATTCAAGTATTTAATCTCATTCACTTATTGATAATTTGCCACAATTAATTATTTACTAGAACTAAGCAGGTGATGCAGTTCACATGTAGATTATTAATATTTTTCTTGCAGTTATCTAATAGAAAAATGGTGCAGATTTTATAATTTTCAATCAAGTTCAGAAAAAAGATTGTAAGAACTTCATTTGTATTCAAAAATGTCCGTGAAATTATTACAAAGTTTAAAAGGACACAATAGCGATGTGACTTGCGTGATATTTATGGAAGAAGCACACTCTATACTGGTTCCAGGTCAGATAATAAGATTTTAATAATTATATAAATTTTATACCAAAATTTAATTAAGATATATTCAGTACATTAATAAAAGTTGAGACACTGGGTTTTCCTTTTAAAATTTATGTTATTTGTCAAACTAATTACTATCAATGTATTTCTATTTAGACAGATTGTAATTTATGAGAAAATAAAAAAAAAATTAAAAAAAATATATTAAATTTTCAAACAAAATATAAGCTCAACTTTTCTTGTTAAATCGTTGGTTTTAATTTTATTGATTTAATTTAGCGATTAAAACAGTACGTGTTTGGAAATGGCAAATTGGCGAAGGATTTCAGGAAGACGAACATTCGCCTTTTTTAGGACATAAGTATGGCGTTACTTGCGTACGAATATCAAAGAAGGTATCTTGAATATGAATAGATTTATGAATGTAATTTTTTGTTTATCCAATTGGCTGACACACAATTGTATCTACATCATCAATTATCTATATTAGAGTCATTTAGAACTGTTATTCCTGTATCCGTAAATAATATAATAAATATTGCCCAATATATAATGGACATATGTGTGTGCATTATATTGTGTTGTTTTTGTCTTTAGTATGCACGTAGTAGTATGATTTTCTTGCTTTGATTCTTTACTATTTTACTATTTGCCACAATTTTCCAGAACAAACACAAATTTTATAAGTTTATTCCACACAAAACGAAATTGGACATTTTGAATCCTCTTGATGGTTCATGAGGTGAAGAATTGCATGTATTCATAGGTCTACAATATGGACTTGTTTCTAATCAACATTTTCTAATAAAAAAAATCCTTTCTTTATATCAATTCTTTTGAAGACATAATTTTACCAGTATATTTTTAGTTAATTAATTGTAATAATTTTTACCGTATTTGGTATGATTGTGTATAAGACCAAGGATTACACTGTTATTAAGTTTGATTTTCTAATAAATATGCTCCACTAATTTCGATCTTCATGGACTTAGTTATATTACCTTTAATATTATATATCAGAATAAAATTGAAACTTGCTTAATTCTTTATGATTATACCAAGACTGTTATTTAGGGACCGATTCTGCCGCATAACAGACAAATGTTATGGCAAGGCCATGTTACGTTCCAACTTAATACTGACAAAATGTCACGTATTTGCTGTGAATTCAGGCAGATTTACACATAAACTGCAACGTAACTCGTATGTTATGATGCTGCGTCAGAAAGACCCTGTTATCTAAGATCGTTTTTTGATATTTGTGCGGTTTCTAGATATGTTTTCTTTTATTTTTTAATCTAACAAACTGAGAAAATCACTTGACTGCACAGCTTTTGTCAATTTTTAGAACGAATTAGTATGGAAAGTTCTTCATAACATAGCCTTGCCATAACATTGGACTGTTATGCAGCAGAATCGGTCCCTAAATTGTAAAATTTTAGGAAAAAGTTAGTGATATTTTGAATACTCCCCCTACTCCTTTTTCGTCTAACAACACGTAATTTTTAGTATCTAGAATAAATCGTTAAATTTTAGGAACATTTTTGAAAAATTGTGGAATATTTTAATATTCAGGTTAAAATAAATACACCGTAATATCGTACTAGATTCCCACCCCTCCCGCATGTGATAGTTTTGGCAACTCCTACCCTTTTAAGCCTCACGTAATATGGGACGGCCCAAAGGGGGTATTCAATAATCACGTGAGCAATTTTAAGGATTTTTGGTCCTTCCCTCCCCCCATACAATATTACGTGCATTTTTAACCTATATACAACATTACCTAGAAAAAATCGTTTTTTTAAAAAAATTTTGGATTTTTAGTTAAATTAAGGTAAAAATTAATACACGTGATAGATCCTTCCGCCACGTAATATTTCGTGATTATTTTTGTCAAATCCCTCCTCACCCTTCAAAGCTCACGTGATTAATGGCCCCAAAAGTAGTTTGAGTGAAAGAAACAACTGTCGCCATCTCAACGATTGATGGTTTTGATATTAACTATATCAAGTGTTTTCGCAGCACCAATTCGAAGTCTTTTATTTATTTCACATATTTTTCATGCTAAAATTTCGGTTTTTGGTCAATTTAATTAGATGGCGGACAGCATTATTGGATTATTGTATTGCTTTTAGTAAATGAAGTAGTTAGATAAAATGTATCAAAAAAATATGAAAACTGTTTTCATAATCTCTCATACCAAGCACCCCTGAGATATGAGAATAGTATATCAAATGTTTTCTTTTATTTTTTAATCTAACAAACTGAGGAGAAAATCACTTGACTGCACAGCTTTTGTCAATTTTTAGAACGAATTAGTATGGAAAGTTTTACATAACATAGCCTTGCCATAACATTGGACTGTTATGCAGCAAATCGGTCCCTAAATTGTAAAATTTTAGGAAAATGTTAGTGATATTTTGAATACTCCCCCTACTCCTTTTTCGTCAACAACACGTAAATTTTTAGTATCTAGAATAAATCGTTAAATTTTAGGAACATTTTGAAAAATTGTGGAATATTTTATATATTCAGGTTAAAATAAATACACCGTATATCGTACTAGATTCCACCCCTCCCGCATGTGATAGTTTTGGCAACTCCTACCCTTTTAAGCCTCACGTAATTATGGACGGCCCAAAGGGGGTATTCATAATCACGTGAGCAATTTTTAAGGATTTTTTGGTCCTTCCCTCCCCCATACAATATTACGTGCATTTTTAACCTATATACAACATTACCTAGAAAAAATCGTTTTTAAAAAATTTGGATTTTTAGTTAAATTAAGGTAAAAAATTAATACACGTGATAGATCCTTCCGCCACGTAATATTTCGTGATTATTTTGTCAAATCCCTCCTCACCCTTCAAAGCTCACGTGATTAATGGACGCCCCAAAAGTAGTTTGAAAGAAAACAACTGTCGCCATCTCAACGATTGATGGTTTGATATTAACTATATCAAGTGTTTTCGCAGCACCAATTCGAAGTCTTTTATTTATTTCACATATTTTTCATGCTAAAATTTCGGTTTTTGGTCAATTTAATTAGATGGCGGACAGCATTATTGGATTATTGTATTGCTTTTAGTAAATGAAGTAGTTAGATAAAATGTATCAAAAAAATATGAAAACTGTTTTCATAATCTCTCATACCAAGCACCCTGAGATATGAGAATAGTATATCAATAAAAAAAAGACTAATTTCTCAAAACTACAGTAAGATTACTACCTGATTGTTTATTACCTTATAAACCTGATTAAAGGGTTATTATTATATAAGCTAAAAAAAATTCTTACATTAACCAATGCATATTTATCACTACAGATGAATGTTCACTGCACAATTCTGTTCCTTTGCAAAAGTTTCTCCTATATTTACCAAATCATTTATAATCATGCAGCTCATAGAATGTAATTACTGTTCTGATTGCTGTATAATAATAAATGAATGAGAAGAAAAAAAAATATATTATGTTCAGGGAGATCTGCTGGCCAGTAGTTCAGTCGATGGTACCACTATCCTATGGTGTACGCGATCTGGTTCCAGGCGCCAAATGCTGGTGCAGGATACTGGAGAGCCGGTGCGATCTTGCGCCTTCTCCCGGACGGCGCAGTGTTAGTAACAGGCGCTGACAGCGGTGCCGCTTGCGTTTGGGATAACAATAATTATCAACTTATTCGGTATATCACTTGTGCCTGCGCTAATTACTTAAATTAAGGGTAATCTAACCTGACTTATTAATGAAATATTTATAGAATTGAGATAATCAAAAAGTAAATTCGTAAAGCCCGTGTTATGGTATTCGGTGATTTTCATAAATCAATGTCATTACCAGCTTCCACTGGGCTTTGAAGTGATGATGGATTTTCCATATCAAAATTTATGGTGCCAACTTATGTAAACTAGTAGTTGTTGCACTGGCGTATTGCTACACTTTTTTTCCGCATACGTCGATTAATAAACATTCCAGTAGCAAAAAATGATGTTTATTCTTAAGTTTTAAGACCGTTGATAATTTGACATACCAGGAATATATAAAATTTTGCTCGTGTATTATATTTCTGCTTCGTTTTTTAAAGGACAAATCAACAAATTTGATATTCAGAAATGTTGGACAAAAAGTTTTTTTTTGAAAATCAGCTTCAGTTGCTTTGGAGATACGAACAAGATAGAGCATACTGAAATTATTATTATTTTAAAAAATCTAATCGGTTCTACATAATTAGGGGAAGTCCCAAGTGGCGGACACTTAAATTATTATAAATAAATCAAAAAATATTTTACGAAATGTTTATTAAATTATGATTTATGTTAGATAACAAAGTTAGAAATCAAACTAAATTAACAAAACCGCAATCTTTGCTAAAAATAATTACTACTATCAATCAAACTTTGCTATCAAAAATATTATTTTAAACAGTGGCACCTAGTACCGGACATTTCAAAATACCTGCATTGATCACATATGTAGCCATATGTAGCGATCTCTACGCTCTGGAATGTCTGCACATGTGTCTTTGATAAATATTCTTAGATATTGCAAAAAAAGTCACTATTCATTCACCCTTTGGCTGGGCCACACCGATGCTCTCAGCTGGTGCATTCATAAGCTTTTCATTCTTTGACTAGGAAATACGAAAAATGTGAGTATGTAGTGACCGTTAGCACTCATACAGAATAAAATTAAATAATTGGAATAAATTACGTAAATTCTTACAAGAAATATCAATATGTTTACTGTCCGGTGCTAAGGGACAGATATTTTCGTTCATTTGGTGGCACCTACTAAAATTGGTTAAAATATCTAATGATATTCTACCATTTTACGGATAACAATCAAGTACAACTATTATCTTTGCATACCACACAAATGTAAATGCATAATTATGCTGAATTATTGAATTAGAATTACTTCATTGATATTAGGTTGTCAAATATCTCCTTTCCGCTTTTTTGCTCTTGGTTTTATAATACAAAAAGGCGGAAAGGAGATATTTGACAACCTAATATTTAGGTGACGCCTGAAAAATCAAAAAATTTTAAAATTTCTAGTAACTAAAAATGCACGTGTGTGGCTTGGCGGGAGATAGAGGGGACCCAAAAATCTCTAAAATATCGATCACGTGATTAATGAACGTTCAATTAATTCTATGAATTAAATGTCAGTTAAGTATTTATAAAATGAGATGATAGTTATATTAAGAACGACGCAGTAGTGCTTTTCTTATAAAACGGAGGGGGGGTGATTGCAAAGCATTACGAAAAGGTTGGAAACCACTGTGTTTATCAATTATAAATACAAGTAGAAAAAGTTATGTTTATGTGATAAAATCGTTGATTAATGGTAACCAATTAAAAATTATTGCAATGTTTATACTAGTTAACCGAGCTGTGAATTTATTATTTGATGATACTGTTTTACCTACAGAGTTTTGCACTATCACTCGGATGCTGTGCATAGTATCTGCTTTTCACCTGACTCGCAATTGCTTCTATCTGGATGCACCATGGGCAACATTAGAATTATGCTGAATTTCTGGCCAGATACATCAGGTTATTGATGATATTTGGAGCGAAACAAACTTTTTATATCATTGCACATTTTTATATTACTCTGAGCACATATGTTTTACGTTTCGAATACGTAACTTTTATTGGTTAATTTTAAAAAAGGTTAACAATGTCAGGCATTTATGCTCATCGAACTTAGAATATCCTTTCCTCTAGTTGCGGATGCTGGTGAATCATCTGCGAAGACGACGAAGCCCTCGTCAATTTAGATGCTGCTCATGATTTGGGCGTTTTTGGACTGATTTTTCCTCTAGAATTATAACATGTAATAATAACAAAAATACTATTTACACACTTGCGACATGTGGAACTGATCATCTAATCAAACTGTGGAAAATAATTTCTACGCAACCGGAAAAGGGCAATCCGCGAGGTTTTCAACCGATTATAATTGTTGAAAAAATTAGCACAGTACTGGCACATGGTAGCACTGTCACAAACGTTAGGTAATAAAATAAAATTAATTGAATAATAATAGTGAATTTATGTGTTCCCATTAAGTAACACCATTGCTTCATTAATACTGTTGCTATAATATTTAATTATGGTACATCAAGAATAATTAAATATCTGGAATGCATTGCGTTGCATTTGTTGCACAAAAAGATTTTAATTTAATAATCGACATTCCTCAGTATATTGTCATTGTACAAAATTCATTAAGTGGCGCAAGATAAGATCAAATACAGATTATTTTTATTCTCCAGCTATGTTGTCAAATGTTCTCGAAAAATACCTATAAATTTCTGAATTTTTGAAATTTTCTAAAAATATTTGGTTGTTTTATATGAAAAAATTTTTATCAAATCTTTTATCATATTATTTATCAAGTTTAGTATGGGTGGCATGATGGTGGCATGATGTTAGCAAGTGCAATTAGATAAAAGTGTTAAATTATGGACGAGCCAAATGAATTGTAAAGCTACCCTCACAGAACATACAAGATATGTAAATTGTATTTGTTTTAATTCGGATGGAATGATAATGTGTTCAGGTGAATAGAAAAATAGTATATAATATTTTGTAGTATATGATCATACATCTGGATTTATAGTGCTCTTTTAAGATATTTTTTAGTTTTTATGCAAAAATGATTTATGGACCAATTCTGCCGCAAAACAGACCAGTATTATATGGCAAGGCTATGTTATGAAGAACTTTCCATACAAATCGATCTAAATATTGACAAAAGCCATGTGGTTGCTGTGCTGTCAGGCTTTTTTCTCGGGTTGCCAGATAGAAAATTTAACTTAGAAAACTGCACAAATGTCAAAAAAAACTGTGTTAGATAACAGGGTCTTTCTGACTCGGGTTTTCATAACATAGAAGTGACGCTGCCGTTTATGTGTAAAGCGCCTGAATGCACAGCAAATACATGACATTTTTTAGTATTCAGTATGATTCAGAAGCGTAAATGCAAGTTGGAGCGTAATGTGGCCTTGCCATAACATTTTCTGTTCAATCGTTAAAATGATTATTCTATATCTGCATCATAAAAATTTTACTTTCTTTTTCAAACTGTATCTTCCAACAAAACAGGTTCAAACGATAGATTAATTATGATTTGGGATGTTCTGGGAACTTTAACTTTAGATTCTGATATTACAAAACCTCATACTGTTCTAACTAATTTAACATTAAATATGCATTTGCCTGATAAATATCTATGCCCGATTACTCATGAGCTGATGGCGGATCCTGTGATATGCGAAGGTAAAAAAATCGTAGAAAAATTAAATAATATTCTAGTATATATTAAACATCATTTTTTTTCGGGTATATTTTAGATGGTTTTGTATATGAACGAAATGCTATAGAATCTTGGTTCAATTCTGGGAACGTACGTAGTCCTATGACCAATGCTGATATAGAATCGACTGAACTTCAGCCAAATGAAGAACTGAAGCTAGAAATTCAACAATTTGCTGAAATGAATGACTGCAAAATATAGAAAGTGATATTTTGTGAAATTATAGCCAAATTAATGGATGAACTTTATGAACTTTAGTTATGTCAATATCTTAGGTATCAACAAGAAATATTTTCATATTGCACGTTTCAATAGTTGTGAAATACATTATATTTGTGTTATAAATACAATTATATTTGTGCTTAATTATTAGGTACAATTATTTCTAAAACTACAACTTTATCAAATATATTAATTTTTGTTATAAAATGTCTTTCTATACTTATCGCACAAACTTATACATAAGGCAGCAATCAAAATTTCAAATTATAAGGTTGTCAAATATCTCCCTTCCGCCTTTTTGTATTATAAACCAAGAGCAAAAAAGCGGAAGGGAGATATTTGACAAGCTAATATTCTTTCCATAAATCAATAAAAGTCGATCGTTTAAGGAAAAAGTAATATTGTACTATCTTATTAATATATTGCATTTTTTGCAGTGATTTTAACAGTTTAATTTTGATATTAAACAAAATTTAATAAATCAGGAGTTCACAGGTGCAGCAAAATTCATTAATAAATAGATAATTTATTATTTTCTACTTTGAAGTAGAAAGAGACTTATTTAGACTGATTTGGTTCTTTGGTTAGTTCAATGGTTCTTTAGTGATTGCACTTTTGTTCGTAAAGTTTAGTAGTGAATCCGCACAAATGTTAAAAAAAAAGATCTTATATAACACGGTCTTTCTGACCCAGCTTCATAACATACAAGTGACGTTGCAGTTTATGTGTAAAACGTCTGAATGCACAGCAAATAAGGTCTGTTCAAAAAGTACCCGGAATTTTCGTTTTTCAAAAAATTTATTTATTCGTCTACATTAATGTGGTCCCCTTCAAAGTAGTCCCCCCCAGATATAATACACTTATGCCAGCGTTTTTTCCAATTTTCGAAGCACCCTTGATATTCACTTTTTGATATGTCCTTGAGCACTCTCAGCGATTTTCTTCAATCGAGGAAAAACCGCCGTCCTTTCATGGGTCTCTTCAACTTTGGGAATAGGAAAAAGTCACACGAAGCCATATCTGGTGAATTTTTGCACTTTGCAACACTTTATTTCATTTTTTACGAAAAATTTAAT